GTTTTCCTTGCAAATCGGACCGGCAAAAGGCCCAGAGGACGGCCAATATTAACCTGGTGGAAAGATATAGGAGTCTGTTCCAGACTGCATTTGTCTTTTGCCGAAGCTCGGACTCTGGCACAGGATCGGGTACGTTGGAAGCACTGTCTGACGCTACCGGAAAGGAGAAGCGGCGATGGAAGATGAAGATGAACATCGCGTTTAATTGAGGTTCACAACCGAAACTCTCATCCACAACCAAACCGAGTTACCGAAGTACAACTGCTGTGTTTTGAGAGATGTGGAGAAACTGCTGCTTTTCTATGGCAGACTCCGTTACAGCTCCATTTTGTTCAGTTTCCAAACTAAATCACACGTAATTTGGAAGATATGTTTGTTTTTAAATAAAAACAAGCTTTCACTTCGTCTTGTGCACGGAGTGGGAGGTTTTGGCGCAGAACTTTGTTAGCTGTTATTGCTTAGTGATGCGGTAGCCGCATACAGTATGTGTAACTCGACGTTGGTCATCGGCCTTAAATAGTTGATTCTACCCATTGTTATATATCAGTGGAGCGCTCTCTGAGACAGAAGTACGATGTTGCTAAACTTGTCAATTTCTGATTGTCGCTCCATTGCTGTAATTGCGCGACATCATTTTTTTTCTTTAGTTTTAAGTTGGAGTTTATATAATCGGCAGATGTATCAGTTAATTGATTTGATCCCTCGCCACGTACACCTGTTGAAAGCTTTCTGTGAACACGGTATGAAACTTTTAAATCAATTTCAAAGTTTGCCTTTTCGTCTGACGGTTTCACCGTGACTATTACATGAGCTCAGTAAATCGCGCGTTTTGCGCACGAATTTATAGAATGCTCAAAAGCCTGTTTCTACCTCCCTCGCGAGTTATTTGATCGTGCTGCGTATCAGTCAGAAGCTGTCTGTGAGCGTAAATTTTGTCAAAATAGTAACTGTTTATGGAGCTAAGTCAACGATTCGTTTATATTATTTAAATCCTCTGCTGTGTTTTAACCATAGTCATCTATCATAGTCTCGTATAAATGACTGCCCACCGATTTATTGACTTGACGCAGCCACCAAGATGGAGTCATCAAATAAAATAAAATCTTCAAAATTTATGGCATTATATCATGTCCGCATAAAGCTTTGTATTGATAGGGAACATTAGGGATGAAATCAGATAATCGACGCAGATGACCATCTTCTGATGACATAGGTTCAAACTCACGATCGCAGCCCCACGAGCTGATTTAATGACCTATGAAATAGTGATCAGAAACTCACAAGTTTGGTAGTGGCATCGTACTTCATCTACCGAGAGTGTTCCATTTGTATTTAACAAATGCAAAATTTGACCGTGAATGGTTAAATTGGGTAGTTGATGCAGATGGCCGTCGCCCAGGTATATGCCTTCAAAGCAGCAACCTCAGTACCGAGGGATAACCGCAACCACAAGTCTGCATCTAAACACCTTGTGCCAAAAAGTCTTCATGGAAACGTCATAGACCGTCCTGTCCGCGCAGCATACGTGTCTTTCATATATATTTTGTTGATGGTAGACGTTGTTCTTTCGTTTGATGTTGTTAAGGCGATTGCTTTGAGATATAACTTGCTTCAAGACTTAGCGCTCTTTCTACAAATTAGTTGACAGTGCGTGTTGCCAAATTCGCAGCATAGAGCATTTTAATGAGAAATAACACCTGTAGCAATTGCACCCATCTCGTACGATAGCTTGCTGCAGTGCCTGTCACGCGGCGTAACCACCAGATTCCGACACGTCAGTATTTATGCCAGGGCGTATCTCTACCTAAGCTGCATTACTCTACCCTACCCTCAGTTTATTTCCTCCGCAACTGCAACTCAGTAGAACAACATCATTTAGCTATGCTCAATATTGACCCGTTGTTGATGTTTATACATGTTCATTCACTGTGATATTCATGCAACTTGTTCTCTTTTTCTTCCGTTAAACTATTTAACTATTAATGCCGTTTTTTTCTCCGCCTAAAATAGATTTCTTTTACAATTTCATTCAACCAGCAAACTTTCCAAATTCGCACCTTCAGTATTCGATGAATATTGTAACATTTTAGGAATCTTATAGAAGAAAATGTGTTTTATTCGAATAGTTTCACGAAACCCAGTTTTACAAATTTTGGCACCTCTTCTTTCCTATCTTTTCTAAAGGTATAATGGGAATCGTAAGTAATCCACAACTCTGTTATTTTAACGCATGCGTCGCTCACCGTTTTGTTTGCTATAGCAGTGTGTTGCTCGTCGCCACTGATGTTTCAACGGTATCATTATTTCTCAGATCCACGACCAAGTTCATCAGAAAGTAGGATCATACGCCAGAAACATATTAGTATGTGTAATTCCTCGAAATTAGCTTTATCTTATCACCTGTTGCAAATATTATATTCGTAAGAGAGTCAGCGCGGAGTGCCACAGGAAATAAAAATCTGCAACGGAAACTGTAATTGCTGTTTCGCTTTAAATCTCATCGACAACTGGCCCACTTTCAGAAACGAAAGCTTGCAGTTCCCGTAAAGGTTTACACTAAATTTGTGGCAATTTGCACAAATGGTTTTCTCCTTTTAACGCGCTGTTTTAGGGACGATCCGACCAATGAGCCTCCAATGAAGCGAGAGGAGGCGAATAGCTGCCCCGCGCCTTCGCCGATGATGACTTTTAAACAGTTTTTGTCGACTCAAGATGATTCCATCTCGGATGAAGACGCTATTCAAAAGTATCAGGAATACAAACTGGAGTACAAACGTCAACAACTTCAATGTTTTTTTGATGCACATAAAGATAAGGAATGGTATGGATATTCTCTAATACTATATTGTGTTTTTTCTTATTGTGCAATAGGTTATATCTGCGAACTTGTGTTTTATGCGTGGCCTACAAGTGATGACTGATCCAGCCGGAGAAGTGTAGCCACATGAAGGGCTTTTCAACCCTGATTATCCTCTATGCGTACTGCCTCCGTAGATTACAGTTTTAAATGCTAAACGATCACGTTGAACAATCATTAAAGTAGCCAGAGGCGCACTATGTCGCGGCTACAAAGAACCACTTAATTTTATCGATGCTTAGCGAGTGACGTATTGACTTACGTTCGCACCACTTCATACTCGTTTCGAACGGTCTCTAATTCGGACTGAATATAACTAACGAGTTTCGTCATTTTGGTTACTTTATCAACCACTTTTCTTCATGAAGTCAGTCACTGTACTGGGCATGCGTGTGCAGAGCACTGAAATCGCCCTGCTTCGTTCATCTCTGTTGTACGCTTGGTAAGTTTTTGTATTAAATTCATGTTGCTCTTATTCTTTATGTTTAACCGTTGCGATTTATTGCTGTCACATTTCAAAGTGAAGCTGCTTTACCTTCGTTTCCGGATATCTTTCGAAAGTATTGTCCTGTCGAGGCAGTCGTTCGTATTTTTCTCCGATGATTACGTAATTTAGATATCTGAACGCGACATGTTGGTCGCGTATCAAATCTGTGTCCTTAGTACTTTCTTCCTGGTTCATTAGACGATTTCTGCTTTCTGTAGTGAATGCTCAGCGACACTCCCAGTTACAGTCATTGTTATCAGTAGGCCCATGACGAGCAAGCAACTTCTTAATTACGCAGGTGTTCGGTAAAGGAGTAACTAATTCCATACTGTAATGCGGCTCAGAAACCCGTTCAAAAAGTAGCGATTTTCTGTGTTGTCATCTTTTCCGTTCCGTCCGTTTGGTCTCGTGTGCCGTGTATCGTTAAACACTACATAATTATCTGGTTGAATTTGTTTTTTGGCTTCTGAACTGCGTTGGTGCGTATTACCATAAAAAACCTGCTTATGTGTAGTTCAACATGAAATCCGTTTAACTGATATAATTGTATTGCCTTTCTGATTGTGAGGTATTGAGTCTTAGCGCAAGAGTCTCTTTGCAGCATTCTTTTCTGTTCGCAAAGTTATAATTAGCATTTGCAGTTTCAATCTATCATTCGTTAAGTTCATGGTCTTAGAAATATGAATCTCACTTTTTTACGACCGATTTTTTGATCCATTGTTGATTTCCTTATTAACCAAGGTATTTCAATCGCTGCGTTTGAGGCAGCATGATCTCCGCTGCTTCGACTGATTCGTTGGCTTTCAGTCTGTTATTTCCACTGAAATAGCGCTCCATGTATTCTGACTTGCCTTTGCTGAACCGAAGGCCGTTTTTCTCAAGGACTGTTCGCCATACGTCCGATTTTGCTTCTGCTGTTTCTCTGCTTTCACGGCTTAGCATTATGTTATCTGCGCGACCATAGAGCATGCAGTAATGGACTGCTCAATGCAGATCTTTAGTTATCGCGTCTGTTGCCATCAGAAACAGAAATCGGCTCAGTACTGAATCTTGATGAGTCTATATTCGCGTGAACCTATTTTTCTAGCACCAGCTTTTTTGTTATGCTCCACCAGACTGTCTGCTTCAATCGATCAGATGCTTTCTTAAGGTCTAGGAAGCCTTGTGAATATCCTCTCTGCCTTCTCTGTATGTTTCGCGAGGACCGAGCTTGAAGTAACGATAGCGTCTACGGTTGACTGGCCTGACATAAGGTCAGATTGGTTCGCGGCGATGTAACCTCCTTCTTCATCCTTTTGTCCAACTTTTTTACGGTTTCATGGAATGGTATCGAAATGCGCACTCTCGATTGGTTGTGGATATTTTTCTTGTCACTCAAAACCAGTCCGCTTTCATTCTTTGTCAGCTTCATTGAAGTTATTTTTTTCTGGCTTTTGACATTTGTCATTTACACGGATTAAAATTCTTGGTCCAAAACTGCGCGTCGATGTAATGACCTCACGCTGTCGTCACAATGCAGTTTTTAGTTAAAGGAAATTTTGAGGAAAGTTTTTGAAAAACGTGTTTGTT